CCCTGACCTCACTGCCCAGGAGGGGCCGCCTCCTGCGCCCGGAGCCCGCCCCGCATCCCGCTGGATCCCGGCCGCTGCCGGGCAGGAGGGCGCTGGGGCCGGGCGCTCCTCCCCGCCCGTCCCTCCTCGCCCCAGGGCCGCGGAGCGGAGCGGGCCGGGGCCGCCAGGGCCCGCGGAGCGGCAGGACCCGCTCAGCCCCGCGCGGGCCGCGGCAGGAGGTTCAAGGCCGCCCTAAGGGCTCGGCAAAGCAGGCGCGAGGCGGCGCCTAAACGCGGTTCAGCCCGGGCGGCAGCTGCCGCCGGACGCCGCTGCCTGGCGGCACCGTGAGGGCCACGGAGGGACCGCGAGGCCGCCTAGGGCTGGCTGTAAAACCTACCGAGCCGCGTTAGAAAGAATAGTTAGTAACACTGTTCCCCCTGCTCCAGCTTAAAAATTAATCTATGAGGCCCTTAACACTAGTTGCAGTAATTTAATTAAAACAGAACTAAACCCAGTGCAAGTAACTATCACCTTAAAAATCATATTTACTATAGTCACAAAAAAGCACATTGCTATCAGCCTATTTGAAAATTAATCCCGGACCTGTGCCAGGTTTCACTTGTCCGTTTTTAAAATAGATTCTTAGCTACTACAGCTGAGGCCTGCAAAGTGCTTTAGCTGAGAGGTGCTTATGTTGAGGGACAGGCTCACAAAGAATATCCGAGATGCTTCCGCAGCCCAAGGCGAGAGGAGTTTGGAAGAGCCGATTCTGACAGAGGCAATGAGGGACTGTCCCGGAAGGCACCGGCTTCCCGCTACCACAGCGCAAGGCCTTGGATGACACTTCACAGGGCAGAGGGGAAAACACAAACAGCTGCTGCATAACCTGCCAGGGAAGCGCTGGGTGACCAGGCTTGGGGGTTAACGAGGCACTGAGGGAAAGAAAGGGAAAGAAATCCCTCAGTCCCCTAAGCAGCAGTTGAGGCAAGCTTGCCTTCATGGCAGTATCGGGTGAGGAGCTAAGGGAGCCCACAAGGACAGCGGGAGAGGTGCGAATGGAGGAGCCCTCGGAGCTGCTTTGGAAAGGCCTAGGGAAGGCAGCCCTCGGCTTGCACCTCGCGTGTCCCTCGTGAGCGGCACCTCGTGTCCGCTACAGGTTGTGCCTGCTCGTGCCCATGAAAACGGCAGGGAAAGGCCACAGATCCTTCTCTAGATTGTCCCAATTTCCATACAGTGATTCCCTCTGCACACCCAGCCAAAGGCAGCAGCAGAAAAGCCTCTCTCCAGCAGCTCACTACCACACAGTCAAGGATACGGTTAGTAAATTGAAGGAAAATCCGGAATAAAGGACATTCGGGAGCCTTGTTTTTTTCCTCCTTCCTTCCCCCCCCAACACCTATCCCCAGTCTCCCCCAAAAATGAGGCACTCTAGAGAAGAGCCAATAGCCCACCAGTGGGAAATGTGAGCTACGAAATTATTTTCATCTCTAATCTTTAGAGTTGTGCAAAAATGTACAAAAAGAATCCAAAATACATTTGGGGAAAATGCTTTCAAAACCATGTTTTCTACTGGCTCAGAGTTATTTCTAGTCTTTATGTTTTTCTTCTGCAAAATGATGTTAATTATATAATGAAAAATACCTGAAGTCTTCTAGTTGTAAGAATCGCCATCATTACTAAGACCAAACATGTCAAAGTTACACAGCAGTAATATGATCAAGTGTTTCTTAAAACAGCTTTCAATTTTTGAAAAGCTGAAGGAGCTAGTTTTAAGAACTCCAAGACGATAAACAAGTTCTTGAAAACGCAGCAGTGTTCAAGTTCAAAGTTTGCCTCTTGCAGCTGAAGGCAAACGGATGCCTTTGGTCACTCACCCAGGCCAACGGGGCATGCCACACAGCGCTCAGTCCCTTCATTTGCTTCCAGATGCCTGACATTCAAAGCTGGGAGCGTCGCCCTCCTACCTCTGAAACGCTCCCTGCAGCGAGTTCTGAGGAGCTCTGAGCCAGCTGGGTTACAACCCTGTGCGAGTAGATCTTCCATGTCTGCTTGCTTATCCCTCTCCCAAAAAAAGGGCTTCAGTAAAACCTCAGAGAGGCCATAAGTGTCTGTCAGCACCGTATCCACACCCCTCACTCCGTGTGGCAGGACCATGAAGAAACTCATCCAGGTGCTTGGCAGCCGCAGGGCCCTGGGAGGCATTTTCCAAAGCAGAAATACCTGCTCTCTGCAGAGTATGCAAACCCAGGTGCATTGCTCTTTTGTATGACTTCTTGAACACCTCTCTCCTTACCAAAACAGATGTGCAGCCAACCTCTGCGCAGCCAAGACTTTGTTCTTGAAAATGCCTTACTGGAATAAATGCCACTGATGCTCTAGTGAAAGAATAAGCAAATATTAGTAGCAAAGCACTTTAAACTTTCAGCTCACCGCACATTGGAATGAGTATGCACGAGAGAGAGAGAGACTTCAACAATCCATCAACATTGTTTTATTAAAATCTTTATTCACACAATGTTGCTTTATGTGGACTCTGACCCGGGGAGATACAAATAGAAAGTCACGCCTGCAAGTCTGTTTTGTTATTAGTAACTTCCATTTGTGCAGCTGCTCCCCAAGGCAAATCTCTGACAGCTCCAAGAGGGGTGTCTGGTGCAGGCGTTTTGCTCCAGGCGACACAGCAAAATTATTACCTTCTTAATAAATTATTTCTCAGTTGTGGTTTATTTGGCAAGAGACACTCCAGGTTCATTTGTTCTGGAAGAGAAGCAGACTTCAGTGTTTCCTCCAGCCCAACTGCTGATTTAGGGAGGAGGAGATACGTGTGAGAGCGCTGATGACGTTCATTTTCCAATTAGTTCCTAATTCCTGTGCTCCAAGCACTCTGCTTTGCCAATATCCACGACATAACCATTTTCTGACATCTCAAGTCAGCCAATGACAGTGTGCACAGCTTTAAGAGCACCAGTTAGCAGGTATCACACAGGCCTCACTTTTTTTTTTTTTCACTTCATTTTTTTAAAGAAGTTCAAGCAGACCCTGTTTGCACATGGATGCTGCTTTGTGTTTCCCTTTGCAATAGTTATAACTGAGCTTAAGATTTCTCTGGGTTCTGTATCCAAGCAAAATGCTAAAGATGATCCCAAGACCAAAATCTGATATTTCTGATCTGGGATAAGAAAGGAATTGATTCCTTCCTGCTGCAAAATGCAAACCTCCAGTGTGTGAACACACTAAAGAGTGCCAAGGTATTTAAAAAAAAAAAAAAAAAAGGAGGAAAAAAGCAACCTTTTCTGCTTTCTCCTCCTGAAGCTGCCTGTCCTTCACACCCCTTGTGTGCACCCAAGGCAGTGCTTTAACTCTTTGACACTTATCCAACAGAAAACTTATCCCAAATCCCAGCTAACTCCAAGAGCTGCAGGTTAAAGCCCACCGAGCAAACCAAGTGGAGGATCTGAACACGACCTTCGATGCACAGAGAGAGCAAGAATTTTTAGGAATCTACCATCAAATCAAGTGTCAGTGATCAGCAAGTGATCAAAAAGAAATCAAAACTTCAAATTCTGGTGGATCCTTCCCAGAATATTGCATGTTAATAAGTACACTCAAAAGAGCATGCTTTTAAAAGGCTTCAAGATATTTCCACGTGCTTCACACACTTCCCTTGTGTAAATTACCATCAGTTTTTCGAGGAAAGAATTTACACCAAAACACCTCATTATGAAACTATTTTGCATTGGATGAAAGCCACTCACTGAGCACCTCACTGGTGGCCAGGGCACCTTTCAGTGACATCTCGCTCAACCGCTGGCCATGCGGCACCTCGCAGACCAGTGAGAAACAAGGGCAATCCCTGCAAATACGCCAGGCCCATCCTGACTGTGTGGCCTTCTGTGATGCGGCCACGTCTAAAACAGCTCTAGAAGAACATAAAATTAATTTCCAAGTAAATAACTGCATTCTACTTCCACGATGTTCTGCTTAGACAATGACAAAAAGATGTACATGAAACCAAACCTGCATTTTTGAAATAACCTCTTTCACTAACACTGCTGTTGGGGTCTGGTGGCTGGTGCGTGCACCAGCAAAGAGAGCTCTTGGTTTACGTGCCAGCCCCGCTGCTGCAGACACAGAAGGATTCTGACAGATAAATCAAGGGAAAAAAAACCAAAACGAAACAAAACCCCTTTTAAATAGACATTTTGCTGCTTTTGATCTCAAGCCCAATAGATAGATCAATGGCCCTTCAAGACGTGCACTCTCTCCTCACTGCTGAGGACGGCTCTGGCTGAACAGAAAATCAAACCCACGTGGTTACATTTGGGAACAAAATGACAAAGCTTCTCCCCTACTGGAGACAAACATTTTCATCTACTGCAAACGTGAGAAGTTCATCTACAACGCAGACCGAAGCCTGGCCTGAAGGACAGAGGGACACCAAAGGAGTGCCCGTCCGCCAAGCAAACCCGCGCAGACCCTCTGCCCCTTACGACACAGCCACGAGAAGCGACAGCTTCCGACGCACAGTCATCCCAGTCAACACGGCAGCGGAGGCTGCCGGGAGCAGCCAGGGGAGGCTGGACACCTATGGGAGGCGCAGAGCGGCCTGGAAACCTGCTGGCATCCCCTGAAAGAGCAGCATGGGGACGGGTACAGAGCACAGGCAGCTCCGTCCGGACGAGGTGGGAGAGACGGGCTCAGCCGGGCGGCTGCCCGCAGCATTTAAGCAATACAGCTTCTCTTGCCCACACCAGGCACGGGACCCACCTCGTCCCCCCGGTCAAGTACTGTAACCTGGCCACCGAAAACCTGCTTCTGAGGACAGGTTCTGTCCCGCTTCTCAGCTACAACGTGAGAAAAATGTGGTTATTTTGAACACACGCCTGCAAAAAGGGGATTTTTCTCTAGTCAGACCTTGCTAGATTTCCTTATCAATGGAAAACAGCAATAGGACGCATGGAAATTTCTTCTGGGAAGTTATATTAACCCCTTAACAATTAAGTGCTTTGTAACCACCCTGCCCTCCCCTCAATCTCCAACCTGGTGGAAGAATCTTTGATAAGACTTCAGTGACAATACTGAAGCGTTATCACGTCGAAGGCAACCCCTGCTGTCCCAGCCTTTTAAGGAGGACAACTGATTAGCAGAGGCTTCCTCCTCCACATCTAACAGCATCCACAAGAACATCCCACCCCTGGAGGGGGTGCAATTGTTCAGTCTAATAATTATTTTATTCACCACTTCATCCTTCTTTAGAGAAGCAGTAAAACACCTAACCAGCTCACAGCTGATTATACACAACCCTGAATCAGACGAAACTCCTAAGAGTGTACGTGGGAAAGAGGAGGGGACAGGATTGTACTGTTCATCTCCATTTGTCCCCTCTAGAACCAGTCCACAAATTAGTGTCTGTATTCCACACACTTCCACCAAGAGCCATTTTTATCCAGTGCAACGTCCACTGCCGGCAATGGACACACCGGCGACGGCCACGATGCCATCGGGGTCCTGAGCCGTCCCAGGCCCCAGCTTCCCACCTCCTCTTATGCCGCGAGGTCGGGGTAAAGGCCAGAACCGCCTCTGCTGCTCTGGCTTGGAAGCTTTCCGGTTCATTTCAGTCCATCCTGGCCACGGCCTTTCAGAACCGATTGTGCTGTTTTTCTATCATTTGTTTTTGTGGTTGCTTTTAAAAAAAAAAAAAAGGAGTTTCATCTGTGCCCACTACCGTTACAAATGGGACAGCGTCATCCTGTCTTCCACCAGCACAACATCTGACCCGAACTGGTCCGTACACTGCTTCACCGTAGCAAGGATGCTGAGGAGCCGCTGATCGAGGGCATCCAGGTGCGAGTCGGAGAGCACCGGGGAGATGGGGTCGTGCGACAGGGCAGTTTTTAAGGCAGACTTTAGCACTCCGTTCTTCAGGTAATTGAGTCTGTTCCAGGTAGAAACCCGGATGCTGCAAAAGAAAGAAACACACTTCATCAAACCGCTGCCCATGTGAAGCCCCCTGGGCAATACCGAAATCCAGGCTCGAGGCAGCCTGCTGCGTCACGGCTGCAGCTGAACAGAAGGTACTAGTCTCACCACAGCTGGTTTGGGGACGGGAACGTGCAGGTGCAACTGCCAGCACCTGCAATACCTAAAACGGAAACTTAACAACTGAAGGAGAGGAGCTAGGAACCCAACGTCTCACAATCCTTACGAGAGTTCTTACATGCAGACACCTTCAACTACTAGCAAGGAAGTTCTTCAGTCCTGACGCCTCCCAGAGCTCAAAAAGAGCAGAAAGCAAAATGGTCTGGCCATTAATTCAAAAAACTCATGTTACTTCAGGAAAAAGCATCACTGCCCATGCACTGGGACTACATTTAGGAGACGCTGAGAAAGAAGGGCCAGAAGATCCTCAAAAAAATTAAAAACACATTTAAAATTAATGTAGGAAAACTAAAGAATCTGAAAAGCACTTGGTTAAACTGTTCTCCATTTGCCTACTGCAATTCTTTCAGTGCTACACAAGGCAAGAGAATGGCAAAAGGGCTGGATCGGGCACACATAGAGCCTGGCTCCGAGCAAGCAGCCCGCGAGAGCTTGGGCCTTTCTGCAGAGTTCTCAGGTTTTGCAAACCCTGAACATTGCAGGGACAGAACTCTTCAAGGAAAAGCTTGGGAAACTCCCAAGTAAACATCTAATTGAGAAAGTTTGGAGGAGTTAATATCTTGAAGTAATAGATGCAAGGAACTAGTCTATCAGTATTCTTTCTGGTACTTCCATCTAATTGTCAGTGAAAAGTAGCAATAGCCTGGTGAGAACCACAGCATGCAAAAGGCAGCAGGTCACAGCCACTAAAAATACAGACAAAAAGAAACCAGCTCATGAGGCCAAAGCAAAAACAAAATTCTGCAAAGAGCCAAACAAACTTCATTTTGAAAGCAACACCACAAGCAGTGCTGCAGACTTGTTCAGAAAAAAAAAAAAAAAAAAGTATTTAAAAAAAAAAAAAGGATTTGAAAAGGAAGGTGGTGAAGTTGCCGGACACGTTGAGTCCCAGGTTCTGAGACAGAACTCATGCTATGATGTAAACGTTTATTCAGCAGAGCTGCATGGAGAACGCTGCACACAGACAACAGCAGTCCCAGTAACTAAGGGGAGATCTGAAGCAGTGACCTAGAGGCCAGACTATTTCCTACAGTTCCTGCAGTCTATTGTCTGGTTTACTACCTTAAAAAAAAATTACTGCTCTGCTTCCTGAGCACTGAAATACATAAAACAAATGCATATATATATAAAAATATCACCATATACTTCTGAACATTCTCAGCTTGCCAAAAGGCTTAACAGCTACAAATTTAATTATATTCCAAATCCAAGGACAGCAATTTCACAAGTGAAGTGGAAAGCATCCCTGTGCTTTACTTACATGCAGCACTGATAAAGAGGAGCTAGGATGCTTCTTTCATCCAGGGCAGGGTTTCCAAAACTGGAAAGCAAAATTAAAAACAAATGAACCAGCCGAACAGTTAATGCCTTTTGCAACATCAACAGATTTGTAAAGAATTCAAAAACCAATAACAATCACTTTGATGCTCTAACAGCTCAAATCATGTAAATTAAGATATAATTAGGCCTTAACCAATTGCAGATATTAACTGTCAACAGCATCAGCTAATGAACCAGATGAACAGAAGTGACACCAGGGTACCTAGGTCCTTATCAGGCCAAGACACTCTAGAAACAAAATTTTGAGGAGTTTAGAAATTGAACTCATCTTGCTAAGCAAGGGAAGGGAGTAATTTGCTTTCTGCACATAAAGAGGGGGAGCACTGACTACATGACAGTGCTAGACAGGCAAGGAATTAAATTGCTATTTCAGATGGACAGGCTTAGACCAGCAGTTCAACATGCAAAGAATCACCTCTCAACAAGGTGAGTATGTTTTATGACAACACTTTCAAAGAGGCACCTTGCAGCAGGTTCTCACAGTGTTTTTAAGCTTCACCTCAACATGTGGTGATGATTTTTTTTTCTCCATTATCTCCCCTTGCCCACCATAACACTGTTCCAACAAAGAACTTGCTCTTCAATAAAGATAATTCACGTTGCGAGTCAGACATTATTCTGCTCAAATAATTCTGCTGTCAGCAGCTTTAAATAACTCCTCTTCCCCTTACCCTCCTGCCCCCAACACACACAGCCCTTATTCTCAAAGAAGCTGGAAGAACTTTACTCAGGCTGTCAAGAAAACAATTTACTTCAGGGCCTGCAAAGCCCAGAGGAAATGGTTTGGTAATGTTACGAGCACGTACTGTAATGAAAGCTCTGACATGACCTTCAACTATCATATTTACTCCCAGTGACAGATATACTAACTTCCTTGTAGCTCATTGGCAGCGCATTATAGAAAGACATTTTTTGCCAAATTCACCTACAGCAATCTGAAAGCAGCAATAATTAAGCACTCCCCAAGTGGAACACAACCTGCTGGCGTAATTGAAGGCGCATTACTGAAAAGGCTGATGCATGAAGACAAAATATGCAACTCAGCCACTTCTGCTGCAGTCAAAGGAGGGCAATGGATGGAAGAAAGATGGGGACAGAATCCACTACAGGAAAAGCAAAGGGATCAGTGAGAAAAGAAGTGATAACTGCAAGGCTTCAAGGATCTGTCTAGATCCCAGTTATTCCCAGAATTGGTTGGTGGATCACAGTTCAAAGTACTTAACACACAGTGAGAGCAAAATATGATGATGCCCAAAGGCAAATCTATCTCCAGTTTCAGTTCTCAGACTTTAATCACTAGACAGATTCACAAGACAGAGAAAACCAGGCTATTCAGAGCAACGTTTTGAAGAGATCTGCTTCTGCTATGGCACTTACTTTGATTTGCTAGCACGTAGGTAATAAATCCTAAATTTATGATCCTTCATAAACTGCAAACATACTGGGGAGGGAACATCAAAAGGGAGGGAAAGGAGGAGACAAACAAAGATTTAAGAGTTTCTCTTGAAATAAAAGTTATACTGGGCTAATTCAGAAGTTTTTTGTACTTTGATTAAGACTTTGCCTAGTGCAGTCAGAACTATGTATCTAGAGGACAGGGTAAGTGCCAGTCTTTTAAAACCTCCAATATCTGATGAATAACATCTAAGCAGCAGCAGCTTGGGATTTTCAGTATAAAAGATAATAAAGAAAAATGAAATGGAGGGGAAAAAAAACAAAAAAGAGAGAGAGAGAAATTTAACAGATAAATGTGTATCTTGATGCTTCCACTGCTTGATGCTGACTCACCTCTTGGCATTATCTAGGAGTATGAGCATACTTGCTCCTTCATCATCCTGGAAACTCTCATAGTGATGCCGGTCAGCATTCCCAATCAAATAATCAAAGATGGCAGTGTCAATGATATCGAGGAGACGGGGGCCCGAATCATAGGGGGAAGTCTTCTTCACAGCATCACAGTAGCTTTCATCGTACTCCCACCTGCGGGCCAAAAAGAGAAAACAAGTCAAGTCTTCAAGAAAAGCTCCACCATTGGTACTATTTGCTTTGGGAGGTATTTAGTTTGCTTCTCCCTTGCTCAAGTTCAGCAGTGGTTGGCGTGCTTCACCACAAGATCTTTGCTACGATTTGCCTCCCTTAACTTCCTGAGGTCTTCAAGTACGGTGTCTATGTTACCTTGGCCTGTTTCCACCTGTCTCTCCAGTCTCTCCTCATTTTTCCTTCTGGCACAGATAACACCCTCTTGCTTGCTAGCACTCTGCACTGGTCTAAGAGGATGGATATTATGTGTTCATACTCTTTCACTCATAGCTGCTTTCCTCACTTTTTTTTTTTTCTTTCAGTATCTTTCACTGCTTCTTTACTGGCAGAATTTCCAGTCTTCCTTTTCTCTCCTATTCTTCTAGACGTAACCTAGGCACGTGCTTACAGTCTTAAAACCTGCATATCCCATCTCAGTTCTCCACAGCTAGGATTTTAAGTTTTCTCACATCTTTCTTTACAGTTTTCCAAGCTCTTCACCACTAACACCAAAACAGCAACAGCTCCTTGCCATGTGTCATCCCAAACAAAAAGCATCACATCTCCTATTCAGCAGCTAAAACTCCTGTGCAAAATAGCAGTTAAACTGGTAACTGTTTGAATCATCTGCGAATTGAAAACAGAAATGCAGGAAACAAGCTGCAGAAGCTACTACTTCAAAAAAATCACATAGAAAGTCACAAAAGGAGGAAAACCCCAAATTTAACTCACCTTCCCTTCTCCAGATACAGACTCTGAGCTCCAATATCTTATTTTTCCAACTTTCCACATCACAAACGCTCCTCAGTGCTGACTAGCTCCCTCCTCCAGCACTTCAAACCCACCTTCAGCTTTCAGCACAACCCCATAGGGCAAATTCTCAGCATAGGCTCTTCCTTGCACTCAAAATATTTCCTTTAGACTATATGTCTCTCTCCCTCGAGCCTTTTTCTTTTATTTTCCTTTAGATCACTGCCTGACCTCCTTGTAGGAACTATTCTGATATCCTGTGCTCTCCTTTATCCAACATTTACTTTGGATATTTGTGCCACGTTAGTGCAGGACTTCAAAGGTCAGGGATTTTATCTATTATGTGTCCATTCAAATTATGTACATTAATGGCACATACAGTTTTAAATATATAATTCCAAAGGTCAACTCAGGGCAGAGCACCAAGCCCTCTTCAGGGCAGAAGAAAATTCCTATGAAGTTATTTTAATGTAGTTATCAAATGCAGAAAAAGGAGAGCATAACATATAGAATATTTCACCTGATGTTCTCAAACAGAGAAGCACAAGGTAATAAGGGATATAACACATTGAACCTTGCAATATCACCTGAGCAAGATAAGAGCATAAGTTAAAAACACAAGCAGTATTAAGTCATCATAGATACCTTCTTAACTTGTTAAAATCATATGCAAGTAGACCCTCTATGATAAAAGTAATGTCTCAGAAAAGGAAACACCTCCAAGAAATTCAGTCGATCCATTACTGCAATTTAACAGGTACTAAATACAGCTGATTTTGACCTTTTAAAAAGGAAGTACCTTCTGCTACTCAGAAAGTCAACTGTACATTTCACATTCTAAAACACTTTAACGAAGCCATTCAATTCTTTCTGAAAGAATTCGTTCTGAGAATCCTTTCTGAGAGTGAGATTCTTACTGAAAACCACTGCATCGTTGAGAAACGATCAATCTTAGTTCTGGACTAAAATTCTCTTTCTAACCACTTGTCCATCACTAGGTCTTGCAAAAACTTAAGCACAGTCATGCTTTGGTCCCGGCGAGAAAGTGTCCATCCCAGATACTCTGATACACTATATCTTGGTGCACACAACTGCTAGGTCCCGTTCTTCCCCTCTAAAAGCATTCTTTATGTCGAGCACAGTCCCCAAACACTGGTGATAACTAAATCAATGAAGAACTTCTCAGTTCTTACCGATTTAGCCTAAATGCAGAAAATGTACCTACAAAAATGGTCTAAAGTAGATGGTTTAATCATAGTAAATCCTCCTATGAAAACTTTTGACACAAGAAAAACAAGCAAACAAACAAAAAACACTTAAAAGCAAAGCCAACCCTCCTAGCCCCTTGTACTGTCCCCCTCTGCCAAATCTCCTACAATTCTTCAACAAACATTAAAGACCATGAAATGAGGTCTCTTAGAAAAGAGCACAGTGCCATGGTAATCGTGTAGTTAGTGGTAATCATGTCAAATTAGTTACGGCCAAAACTCGACATTGAGAACACTTGCTCCATAACAAGCCAATGTATCACAAGGGTACTTCAGCCCAAATTATCGTTACAAGGACAAACCCCACCGGGCTCTCATACCTGGCGAGTTTCCCTTCACGGTAAGTCCTGCCCCACGGGTGCCGATGCTTCTGGAGAGGCCAGACGTCCGGCAGCCACAGAGTCACTGACCCTTCCATGACGTCCCCATCTGCACAAGCTGGTTCTGTTTCCCGACAGTAGTAGCACTTCCCATAGAAGCAAGTACTATTACCTTCAAAACAAAGAGACATCACAAGAACAGAATTTAATCCAAGGGAAGCCAAAAGAAATTCAGGAGCATGTTGTTGCAGCAAAGAAACACCCACAACAAGATTTCACTGCACCTGACTTCGTATCTCCTCCTCCTCCTCCTCTCTAAGGGCAGAGGCTCAAAAGAGATGAAGCAGACATTTATTCATTCAAAATTTCATGAAAGATTAATTTTCAAAGCAGTATCCTTTTCAAAGGATAGTATAGTTTCAAGAACTATACTATCTAATGTTTTTAATTATACTGGGACTTCAGGCAACACTATACTATCAGCAAGTTTGAGATCCCTAATTCCTCAGGAGCTTCACTTTGCAACCCTAGCACTGCTTATTTAACACACTCCATATGACAGTTTTCCAGAATTTTTCAAAAGACATTTGAAGTTTCATGAGCGTCTTCCGACAGGAGAGGAATAATGACTCTATCAGTCTTTAGTACCTTAACAGCTATGGAAAAGGATGCACTCAGTAGCCTAGATTAAGTTAATCTTTTCTGCTTCATCCTTCAAACCTACTTTAATTTTGTCCCTTGCCAAGTCAATCCCAACTCCACATGCATGGTTGTTTTTCCAAAGCATTCTTCAATCAAGTCTTACTTCCTTGCACCTCTCCATATTCCCTGTCCTTTCTTCCTCTGGCTCCACACTGCAGCTGTCCTAGCAATTAGCATATTTTCCCCAGATTCAAGTGTTGCTCTAGCAAGCCTCTGCTGAGCAAGCGTGAGCTATCACTTCTCAAAACCTCAGAAACTTGGTTAAATTGGGGTCAGCAAGTGATCCCGACACAAATTTTTGCAATTAATTCTATTTGAAAGCCATACTTTAAATCTTTAAATCAGCATTTTTGCTAATACTTATTTCAGCTGAAGTTAAAAAACAGAAAGGTCTGCCTGAGGCAGACACCCAATCTGAATGCAAAAAGAGGTTAGCAAGGCAAATCTCATCTGAACGCTGAATCTTATAACTAGAAGGGTTAAGCAAATTTAGTAACCGAGATTATTAGCAGTGCTTATAATAGAAATACACACTCACATATACATATATATAAATAAAAAAATGAATAACTGTCTCTAGATTCTGCCTGTCTAAAAAAGAAACAGTACTAACTTAATATTTTAGGAAAAGCCCAAAGGGCTAAGGCAGCATAAGTCACTTCTTGGTGCCTAATGACCACCTTGGAGGAGCTTGCACTAGCAACTCCCATTACTACCCCTCAGCAGTAGTTCTGTAAGCAATGTAGCAAAAGTTCTGATGCAGCTAGTTATGAATGCTCAGTAGAGCGATGTGGCACAGACAACATCTAACAGCAAGTGATGAACCAGTCCTACACATTAGCCCAAGTAACCATTGTATTTGCATTAGAGTCAAATATAATTCCATTCTTTCTTTCAGTCCTACTCACAGACTCCAGAGACTTTCTAACAATTTCTAACATCAGAAAATACTAAAACAAACAACCCCCCGACACACACACACACACAAAGCCACACCACAGAAAGAATGGAAAACGAAACACCTACTTTCAGAGAAAGTCAAGTCCTCTTCCCTCACCAAATGGAAGTATTCAAATTTGTCTCAGAACTGAAAGACCTTCCAATACCGTAGTTAAGTGTTTTACAACTGTGTCAAATGCCCATGACTATTTCTCCTTTCACATAATTTTCTTTACCCGGCTGCACAATGCAGAGAATCCACTTACCCACAGTCATGAAGGTGCCCAGAAGCTGCTCTGTAGCAACTGGTTTGATCTCCGTTCGTAGATTCACAAACCTGCCAACTACCAATGGTGCTCGTCGAAAGCCCAGGATTCTAATTTTGGATGAAAGAAAACACGATGGTGAGAATGTGACATAGGCAGCAGTTCTAAACTTAAAAAAAGAACACAAGGGCTCTGTGCCATCGCACAAAATCACAATGAGTTGAGACCAGACAATAAAGTTTGAACCCCTTGGCAACTTCTTCTTTTCTCCAAAGCAAAGTAAGGGCCCCTCCTTTCTAAGCACCAAAACGTAAGACTTGCTTTATAGGCCATCCATGATGCTCCTTTATTAAAACATTTGCAGAAAAGCAACATAAGATGTATCATGCTCCAATTCTCAGAAATCAGATCTCATCCCAGGGGAAGGAAAAAAAAATAAAAAATCCATCATCTCCCTTGGATACAGGCTAAAGCACCAGCCATATGGCCTTTAGGCTGTTCACCTGGAAAGATCATTTATATTTTGTAGGAATTAGTATCTAGCAAAATCTTACATTTAAGCTCCAATTCAACTACACTTGAAAGTAAGCAATCTGGGAGTTAATCAGTTTGACTTGAGGGGGAGGAGGGAAGGCAGAGTGGTAGAAAAACCTGAATGCCAGAGACACATCTGGAAAAAGAATGGATAATCAAAAAATTGATAGCAAGAAGATCCAGATTCCACTCATGTATGCAAGAGCCTTTGCTCTGTGACCACAATTAATTTGATATGGGATTTTAAAAGTGCTTAAAGGAGTGCTACCAACATAAGTGCAATGTGAGAGTTAACTCTCTTAATGTACTTTTGATTGCTCCTTTTTCAGAAAATGGGAAAGAAGGAGTCAGAGATTCCCATAGAGATATAAGGAAAGTTGCCCTTTAACTGCTGCAAACTATTTTTAAAATATTCAAGCAGTAAGTCTCCTAAAGTACAAAACAGATCTAAGAAAGGGCAACGCAAAACATCTGCTTGAACAAATCCTGGAAGTATAAGGACAAAAATCATAGGCAGCAAGACAGCTATACACAGTTTGAGAAAATGCAGGAGCTACAGATAAATAAGGGCAGAACTTATATCTGGAAAATATATTTCTGTAAGCTCAGATTCACAGGGGAAAGGCCAATACCCTGGCTAATACAGCCGCCCCATTAATGGGAAGCATACAACATTCTGCAGGTTCTTGATGAAAAAATAGCACCGAGGATCAATATACCTATTTGTCACCATTTGAAACAACAGTGCATATAAATTATGTGGGCAGGCAGTTTCTGCTAGCTATGCTTGGAGGAGCATGTTCGAAGTAGAGGAGAAAGCTCAGAGAAATTTAGACCAAAACATGGCCAAAGACGGAGGAGTTTGAATGCTCATCTAGCCAGAAATGGACTTTTAATTATTACTCTTTACATTACTTGATTTTTGTAATTTCAGGGAAATTGAGCACTATTTTTCTTAAGGATTACCAATGAATAATAGACATCTGGCTCCAGAATCAACTTTCTGCCTTAAAATGATTCAAAGATCCCAATCTGGTTCATAATCTCAATATTCCAACAGCAGCCCTGGGTATTTATATAAGCAGTTACCACAAAATCTTCCCCGAACAGTCATTTCTGTCTCCTGTGTAATAAGCTCCAAACATGAATTAGGATTAATGAATAGATCTCTTGCAACCTATGATTTTGAGAAGCTTCTTTCTTATGTACTGAAAGAGTAAGAATATCTCTGTTTAAGTTGGTTTATTCTGTTCTTTGTAAGTGCCTCATTATTCCCTACACCTAAAATTTTAAGTCTCTTCACATGACAATTTTTCACATCTTTTAATATCTTAATTAGCTTAACAAACCTTCTCTGAAAGAGCAAAATAGTCCCTTTAAAAAGGGGAAAATCAGGACAGCAATCATTTGTTCTAGATGAAAAATTCATCACAAACTTATATTTTGTCCTTATCAACATTCAGCCTTTAGTATTTTCCAATTTTTTCCTTATGTTTCCTGTAACTTTTTCTTATAGTAGTTGCATCTCCAGCTTGTGTCCATAAGAACACCTGGAAATCCCTGACACCAACTATATGGGCCTGTTCTTTTGTTTGTTTGTTTGGTGTTTTTTTTTTTTCTCTCTAGGAGGCACTGATTCATTTTTAGAATCGTCACTCTAGACATTAAGACTTATTTTTTTAATCATACTTCCGGTGTTTCAGATTTTTCCATAGGACTTGACTAAGATCAAAACATCAGTGGTTTCAGTACCTCACTCACCATGCTTTTTTTTTTTTTTTTTTTTTTTAATGCAAATGTTAAACTCTTGCACATATCTTTAAAATGAAATTTCACAAAACTCAGTGGTTATTCTTATTCTTGGGTTCAATTTGCTATAGGGATAGGTTAGAAACAGTTTACACCTGAAACATATACCAAATACATTTTTCCCCCCACTCTGACAACCTAAACACCACAGACAATAAAAACAAGTAATCCAGTGGTTTCATACCTATCCAAATGAAAGGCTGCTACTTCTGCATTGTGCCTGTCATAGCCAGCATATGGTTCTCCTTCCACAACATAGTCCCTGGCATACCTGTAATTGCAATAAGTCAGACAGTAATCCTGCTTGAATCACCGTATCAGCTTTGCCATTCAGAGTAATGAGTGCAGGAACAATGCTAAGTTAAACAGACCCAGGGTCACTTTCAAAATGATTGTCCATGGGACAGGGAAAAATTGTTAATGAGATTAAGCAGTGGACAGACTGGTGAAGGAGTAAATAAAAAGGAAAGGTTGGTAATTCACAGTGGTCTCAAGTGCCTGGAAAGCTGGGCCTATTCAAACTAATGAGTTGTAATTCAGCTATACACCAAGCCACATCTAAGAAGAAAGACTACAAACCCAACCAGAGAACAAGAGACCATACCGGAAAGCGGGAACTCTGCAAACAAACTGGGGTTCAAAGGGATGTATATTAACATCAAAATACAGTCTGATATCATGGCAAAAAAGCCAAATGCAATCTTTGGTTGATAAAGGACCAGCAAGTGTGAACCTGAGAAGAATATTGGATATAAAAAGGCCCTTTATTTTGGTAGAGAAAAGGCACAGTAAAAAGCAGCATTAGAAATGGAACACACAGAGCAACAAGAGTGGTATATTTTGGCAGAGTCGTGATTTGTCGGGGGGGGGGGAGGCGGGGGGGCAGGCTGCTTTTTTAAATAATGAAGATGTCACCAAACTAGCCAAGGCATTTAAAATTTTCAGTGGTAAATGACATCTGAATCAAGTCTAGCTACTCCTTAAGAGGTATGTCTCAGATAGTACTGACTGGTATTTTATGCCTAAGGAACAAATGGGTGAAGTGAAATACACTTTCTCAAAAAGTAAGGCCAAATTAGAATACGTATTTTCTTATTTCTACCTATTCTTGCATTCATCATGCAGAAACACTGGACACCAGATCTGCTTTTAAGACCACTGACAATTCTCAGTCTTTCCTTAGCCTTGAACTGCATGCTCATAGGGAGGCTTGTCATGACTCTTATTCAGCAGGAGTACGTCACCACACTGCCAGAACCCGCAGTTCCAGAATCAGGAAGACACCGCTCAAAAACATCAAGCTTAACCAGTTCCCTCAGGACTGAAGTTACTATATGAATCTAAAGAACGGCCGTTTTGAGCATTGAAGTTATAGTGCTTGGGAGTCGGTTGGAAGAGCCACTGAATTTTACTAGAAGATGAGCGTGACTCCATTGTTGTCTCCCAAAGAGATGAACAGATTCTGTTTACAAAAGACTAATGAAATAACATAGAGATAAAAAGACATAAAGTGGCAATCATTCAATCACCGAAGAGAATATTCACCTCTTAGGTTTGAAGACGACTTTCTGTCCCCCTTCAAGTATTAGCAAAGCTTTCAGCTGGGTACCTTTATACCCTACATCAGCTTTTATTATTTTCTTTGTCAACATGGCATGCATGACAGCCCCTAGCTCAGGCGTCTCCTCAGGATACACCTCCCGGGGGACAACCCACTGGGCTGCAATCTCCCAAGGGGACTGCATGGTGTGGTCGAGCCGTGGGTCCAGCTCGACGCGCAGGCTCGCCATCATACGGTGAAAGGCGCGCTGGTCTTCGCGGTTGGCAGCTGAGGTGTCCAAGTTGTCAATGAGGAAAACTTTTGTGAAGATGAAGATGACCAGGAGGATGGCCAACAGCACAACTCGCTGCTTTAGCTTCATGGTGACGTTCAACCCTTCTCCCCTGACTACTTTCTTCCAAGCGTTACTGGAAGTCTATTGGAGCTCAGGGTGAGGAGGGAGACGTTAGTTAATGAATTTCATTCATAACTTGTACTGTGAAAGAGGTAGCGCCACTGAAGCAACTTCTAGTACCCCTAGAAAGCAAGAGAATATAATTAAATTTAAAGGAAACCTTTCCTTTAGATCCCAACACATTCAAAATCTAGGCTTAAGTACCAGAAATCAACTAGATTATATACACTAGTATCCCAAGGCCCTGCCTTTCTGCTATAACATAAGGTGCCTCCCTTATAACATAAAGGCTCCCTGTAGCCTTTAGGTGACCTACACGAAAGAGGGAATTGACTGATACCAGCTCTGCTCAACTGAAATCACAACAGCTTCTGTTGCTAGGGTGACTGCAACAGGCGAAACATTTTCAGAGAATTATACTTGAAGTTAACAGCTCCAATTTCACAAATGCCCTCCTGCTTCAAGAGAATCTATGACCTCCAATTTCCTAAAGATTCATCCCTCAAGAGAGCTCCCAGGTACATTTCTCTAATATCTAACAACAATTGTGCAGCTGCACAGACTAGTTTCCTGAAGGTGAAATTTGTAAGAAAAGACTTAGATTGTCTGTTGTCTTCCATTTGCAGTTACTCTAGTTAATCCATCCTCATTCTCAAAGAGAACTTGAAGACACCTTGGTTTCCTTGCACCTAACTATGTAGCTTCTGCAGTCGATTGTAAAACTAAAAGCCATAAAAATATACAAAAATCTATAACCTCAACACTAAAATAATATGGAAAACAAAACATTAACTCTGCATGTGTGAGATTTCTGAGAAAAGGCAGTATTAAAGCCACACAACATTTCTGTGTTCATTACAGGCTGCAGGATAGGCCTCGCTTCTCAGCAATTCTTTGCCAGTCAAATTTTAGCACATAAGGACCACATAATAAACAGTTGATCAGCTGTATTTCAATTACAAATATAGAAATTATCCTCATATTATTAGTGGAATATAGTTGAAAACCAAGCTTTGGTAGTGTCTTTTTGTTTGGCTAAACTTTTTAGCATTGTGTTCAGCTATCATTGGTGAGCAGGAAACTTAATCCAAAGAACTTTATTGCTCCATTACCCAAACTCCACTTATATGCCAGTGGACTACAGAATAAATAAATAAATAAAAGCCTCTATACCATTTTACCACACCTCTAAAAATCCACCAGAAACAAAATTAAAATCAATAAAAGTGAAGTATAAAGCAATATCAGCATTTTCACAATGCACTCAGCAGCTAGGTTTGAATGAAGGCTTCCTGGGTTTTACTGTCTCTTTAGAATATTTTCTAACTGATTTTATTCTCAGCAAGTAACAATTTTCTGCAAGTCAATACCCAAAGAATAGCATTTACTATAGCCATTTACACCCAGTAGCATTAAACACCAACCACACTATGGAACTAGGAATGAAGTGAGCAACATAAAACTTGCTTGCTATGAAGAGCAGCAAACTCATACCCGCTGTACACAGCCTACAAAGTGTGCAGGAAACTATCTCAGAAAATAATTTTCATTAGAGATGCAAGGCCAACACTGTTACATACCATAATCTTGTTTTTATACCATCTCAAAAAACTTGTGCACATTATACAAGGATTTTATTATGCCTCGAATGAAAGAAAAGGTCTGACAGCAGACAAACGTTTGGTCTGTCAGCACCAGGGCACAGAGTATCACAGTTCAGGCAGATGATTATCTGGAATAAACATGGGCAAGTATGCTCTAATTCCTGTTTAAACTTTTTTTTTTCTTCTTAAACACACTATGCTTCTTGTGATCTCCTATGCAAACGTCTTTAAAATTTGTCCAGTAAATCTGGGAAGAAACAGCAAAGGAACAGTGTATACAGCAGTAACATTTTCCTCTTCCTAAAACGTATTCCAGTCTCACCAGATCAATCTTTCTTCCTGTCCTCTCCTCTCTGGCAGACTCCTCGGCAGCTTACACTTCTTCTCTCTGCATAAATGCTGTTATTTTAGTTTTTCTCGCCAGCCTCCTGCAGATCTTAGCTTAGTTTTTTGTTTTCCAGAACCATTCAAGCACTTCCACTCACTGTGCACAGATCACACCGGGTTCTAGTTTAGTTGTCCGGTGCTTAAGGCTTCCTACATATTTCCTCATCTGCTATTTTGCCTCCTCTTCTTTTAAAATCCCTGTTGCCTGCAGACATGAACTTTCCTTTACACACCTGCATTTCCAGACGAGAGCTGGAGCACAGATAAAATAGAAGAGTTCACAAACGCTTTAACCACAGTACTATCTGTGTCTATCGCTGCAGATCAGCCACTGCTCCTGACCTTGCCAGCAACTTAGCGCGAGCTCCTCCGCTGCCTGCTCGCCTTGGCCACCCAGCCAAGCGGCGCACGCACAGCGGGCACACGGGAAGGAGCCGGGAGCTCCGGATGGGGAAGAGCCAGAGGTGTCATAAAGCGTATGGGATGTGGGCAGGATCTGGAGTTTCCTGAAGCACTGAGGTGCTGCTGAGGCCCAGAGCAGCAAACAACAGAAAATCCATGAGTTTTGCTGCTCAGGGAACAACTGCTCCTCATCTCCCAAGTTACAGAGATTCTCTACCTGTTACAAGCACAAGTTTAATTACAGCATTTAAGAACAGCAGAAACATTTTAGGGAGCCTTGTTCAGCTCTGAAGCCATGTCAAGGCAGTGGGAACATCCTGTTGTTTTCCTTCTCAAGCTGCCATTACTACGTTTATTCACTTTATGGACACCAGAAACCCAGCCAAGGGCCAGGTACCCACCGAACACTTAGCAGCACACGGCGAGCCGCAAGATGGGAGGTCTGTGGCTCAGATTTTACATGCCAACTTCGTCCACGTGCAGAAGGGCAAATTCCAAAACCTGAGCATAGTCAAGCTGCGCTGCAACTGAGCAGGTCAAGCTTAAGAGGAGGAGATGACCACAGAGTCACCTCCCCATTACAATTACAGCAGAGTCTCACCGCTCTGCTCCCCCAAAGGCATCAGGCCGAATTTGCTGACACGCAGCCGACAGGACCAGACCTGTGTTTTATAGGTCCCCCTATTCGCCTAGGCCCACGAGCATCTCACAACGCACCTCAACCAGCACATCCCGGGGCAGCTGTGCTGCGTGTAGAGCCTAGTAAGGACCTACCCGCGTGTAGAGCCTAGTAAGGACCTACCCGCGTGTAGAGCCTAGTAAGGACCTACCCGCGTGTAGAGC